ATTTATTTTTAAAAGTCTATGTTGAAATGTGTCATTATTTGCAGCCTGCTGAAACTAGAGAAGCTGTTCACTGACACATTGCGCAAGTACCAGAATTTCTGATAACTTGTGGCATATAACATTTGATACCCAGTTCAATTACCTTGTCCCTTAATGTCAGGTAGAGATAAGTGAAGTCATTGATATTAATGTAGCCTTAAGAATTAAGTACAGGCAATTTTCAGGTATACTCATCTTTTGTTGGGCATGAATATTACCACAGTTTCAAGGAAACAGAAATCTACTGCAAAAACACATTTGTCCCTTTGGAAGAAAGAAGTGCCCTTTCTCCTTACTCCTGTGGATGCTGATTGTACCTGTCTGTCTGATCCTAAAGAAGGCATGGAAACGGGCTACACACCCAATCCTAAAGTTGCCAAGAATGAGATTTATGCAAATGAGCTTTCTCAAAGATCCTCACACATCTTTCTCTTGTGCAGGCTCCACAGAGATAACTGCAGCTCAAAAGTTGTAGTAACATCCTTGGAGCAGCAGCAGAAGGTGAGAAATGGTCCAGGATGGGTCCTCAAGGTTACAGCAAAGAAACAAACCCTCCAAACAGTTTATTTGAAGGTAGGGAAGTGTTTTTCCTCCAGCTAAATCTCTCATCTTTTGTATATGTAGAGCACAGCCAAATGATACTGTAGCGCTATCAAATATTGTGACCTTGTCTACAATGGGAAAACACGGTGTCTTTAGCAAGGCAGTTAGCCAACATGTGTTAATTAGCATGTTTTTAGGTACTGCTGAGCACCTAGACAGAATTTAACATGTTCAAAAACATCTTGTCTAGGACCATGTCTTCACTGGGGAAAAAAAAGGTTCGAATTAAAATCCCACTGAAGACAAGGCATTTGTAGTTTTAACACAAGTTAGTGGGTTGAGTTAAAGACTATAGGGGAGTCGGAGTTTAACTCTACTTGATAACTAATGATAAAACTACAACTGCCTTGTCTTTGCTGGGATTTTAACCTGACTTATCTAAATCAAGTTAAGAACACACCTCTTATTTGCAGTGAAGACATGCCCTGGATTTGACCAGGACCAGCTAACTCACAATTAAACAACACTGTCTTTGTTCACATGAGGTGCTCAGTGGTATTGAAAAACATGTTAAATAGTATTAAGCACACGGTACACCCCATTTTCCCAATGTAGATAAGGACTATATCATGACAATATGCCGAAGGGCCCTAAACAAATCATTTTAGGTAAATAAATCAAATAAAAAAAGAAAAAAGACCAAGAATCTGCTCTGGGAAGGACACACCTCAGTGCAACCTGGGATCAGGTTTTGTAAATAGGATCAGAAACATGAACCACAGTAAGTGGAGAATAGAAACCTAGTTTAAATTATATAGCCATTTGCAAACGAAGGCTGGCTGAATTAGAAACCTGCAACGGTTAATAAAACTGTGCTCTGTCGGGGGAACAAACATTTACATCATTAGCAGAATTAAATTTAAAGATGCTGGATGTCATATTTATTTTAAAATGACAGATTATTGCCCTTTATGGCCCTATTAACTGAATTCATTTAGTTTTATGGGGCCTTTATACATTGGCTGCACTCAATAAAGACATTTAGGAATGCATGTGTTAAATTCAGGGAATGGCCTGGTGTTCCTGTCTCACAGGCCTCCCGATGGTCACGAGAAACCCCTTCCCCCATTCTCCTGGTTTTTACACCTTTCCTGAAGATCCCACATTTTATTCGGGCTGAGAAAAGATAAGTAGGATTCTCTTAGGCACCTCAAAGGTGTTGTCTAGAGGGGACATTGCAGGGCAATGTAAGGAGATGTGCACAGTGTCTTTGCAATGCTCCGTGCATGGCCAATCACAAGGGAAAGGCAGCAGCAAGCACTGAAACTCAAGTGTCTTATATGGGTGTGCTCACCACAGAGATGCCAGCCCTGCCCTCATGGAAAGGTCCTATAGAAAATTATAATTTTTCCACAGTTTTTGAACCATTCTATAAAATTTAATACAAAATTATATCCTTGCTACTCTATATAATTCTATAGGATGGTAAAAAAAAAAAAGCCTTTAAGGGCTTGTCTTCACTACCCGCCTGGATCGGCGGGTAGAAATCGATCTCTCGGGGATTGAATTATCGTGTCTTGTTGGGACGCGACAATCGATCCCCGAATCGACGCGCGTACTCCACCAGCGCAGGTAGGAGTAAGCGCCATCAACGGGGGAGCCGCGGCGGTTGATTTGCCGCCGTCCTCACAGCGGGGTAAGTCGGCTCGGATACGTCAAATTCAGCTACGCTATTCGCGTAGCTGAATTTGCGTATCTTAAATCGATCCCCCCCCAGTGTAGACCTAGCCTCAGGCCTGATCCAAAGCCCAATGAAGTCTGTGGAAAGACCCCCTCTCAGCTCACAGGGCTTGGAGCAGGTCCATAGAAAGGATTACATGCTCTGTGAATTTCTATTAGGTTTTAGATTAATTTCTACAGAACCCTATTGATTTCATCCCTCTTAAATTATATAGGATTTTCCCATAAGGGTTTATCTTGCTCATCATTTCATATAGTTTAAGGCCAGAAGGGATCATTAGTCTTACGTCCAGTGTATCACAGGCCATTAATTTCATTTAGTTACCCTCATATTGAGCACAATAACTAGGGTTAGACTAAAGTATTTCAGCCCTTGGGAGACTGAGTTGTAGCAAAAAATCTAGCTCAGCTACATGCAAGTTTTCTAGCTGAGCAGCAAAACACCGGGATGTATAAACCAAATAGCTGGCAACTTTGTCCTCAAGAGATTCAACACAGCTGCCTGTAAGCATGTTACAAATATCTGAAAAGAAAATGGGTCTCCTCTCCATTTCTCAAAGTCCAGATTTCTCTCTCCATCTATTTTAGTAATTCTGTCTAAGGCCAGATGTTAAACATTTAAATATTTAATATTTTTATAGTCTCTTTCAGCCTCTTGTATTAAAAAAAAATGCAAGTTGACATTGTCCCCTTAATAGTTTGTAAATATCTGTGGACAGACATCATGTGATGTGTACAAGATATGAAAGTTCCCTTGTGGAATTGCTGCTTATGCAGTATGGGTGACATCTGCCACTGTGCAGAGGGAGAGGGCAAATCCTGTCCACCACTAAAGGGCTGATCACAAAGGGATACACAATGTACTGTATTATACTGCCTTTACTCTGTATGTGGAGCTACGTACACATGTAAATGGATTGTGGGACTTAAGTGGTGCATAGGAATTGCTCTGGCTTTTTGCACTGGGGTTACCCAATGTGCACTTATTGTGGTTAAAGGAAATGAGTCACGTTGAACAGTAGCTGATCTTACTGCAGCCTAAAATAACTGTTGGACTTTCTGAAGACCATTCTCTCGCTCCTAGCTGCATTGAACATGTCTGTGGTTATTATTATTTCCTCTGTCACAAGGGAGGATGTATTTTGGTCTTCTAACTGATTTGCTTTTGCAGAGCAAAATCTGCAATGCTTTTTGCTTCAGTCTTTATCTTCAAGGAGCTCTATGGCTTAGGCTCAGCATATCTAAAAGATTGCTTAGAGCTTGAGAATGAGGACGTTGGTTGACAAGTCCCCTCCTCAGGCACAACTGAACTTTCCACCTTAAGGGTAAAGCTCACCTGTCCTGGAGACAGAGCATTCTTCGGGGCTGTTGTGAGGCTGTGGAATGAATTTCACAGGCATTAAGGACCATCACAGACCTCACCACTTTCCTCTCCAAATGCAAGCCATGTTTCTTTGATGTGCTCTCTCTAGTATAAACTCAAAGCAATGTTTACATTAAAAAAACAACCCTACCAAACTAAACACTTCATTGCACACACAGCTTTCCCTTCAGGAGAGGATGAAAGAACAAACCACATGAGACAGATGTTAGTCCCTTTGCTTAATAAACTATTGGAAGGTGCTAGGAGACTATGGTGATGAGGGCAATATTTAGAGTAGAACAGAATAGAAGTTGCTGCTGCCCCAGGCAGTGTGAACAATGAAATATCTCTAGACACTTCTTTTAAATAAGATTTTATTTCAGTGATTCTTAATTTCAGATTCTTGGTCACACATCTCTCAGTATTTTGCAAAATGTAGGATCGTATAGGCCTGCATCCCTGAGATTAGGAGAAGACCCTCATATGTAAAACAAGGTCTTCTAAGTTATTGAGGATAGAGTCCATTTTCATTGATTTCAAGAGCTCAATTCAAATGCACAACCCAGGAGGAGAGGGGACTACGGTGGCTTTAAGCTACCTATGCAACTTTCTGATTCTGTCCTGTTTCAGAGGCTGCAGAGGCCCCTGGCATAACGTAGGCAGCCCTAGGGGGTCTCTCTAAGTTATGGAAACCTCCCTAGGCTGCCCTCTGGACCAAAGCATGGTCTGGAATCCTCACAGTGCTGTATACTGCAGCCCAGCCTGTGACATGCCCTTGCTGCCCCCCAACACCCCCCCTAAGTCAGGACTTGCAAAGAGAAATCTTGGAGGCAGCCTTATGGCTTTCTTCAACAGTGCCAGTGTGAGGGGAATCCTCTCTCAGCAGGAACTGGGGCTTTTAGGACCTTTTTATGCCACACCAGCCCTTTTACCTGGTGTAAAGGTGCTGGAGAAGGGGTAAGGATCTCACCCGCTGTGTATTGGATACAGCCATTATGGTACAAAATCATTGCTGAACTCCCCTAACCTTTTAGCCTATGGTGCATTCACAATTTTATACGCAGAGTCTATAAACCAGAATGTCAATCAACTGAGTTTGAAATGAACATCTAACAATCCAAGCTTCCCTAGTCTCCACTGTATTTACTTCTTTTGAAGAATGTTAGGGTATTATAGAGAAATTCACTCCAAATTGTCTGTCTACTCTCAACTCTCAATTAATTAAAGCATGCTAGTTTGGGTTAAAGTTTTTTTCAAATTAAATATATAGATTTAACAGGTCTCAACTGGGATACACCAGTATTATTTTAATTACCTTTTTTTTCTTGATCCTCTTCATTATTTGATTCCTTTGGAATGAAGATCTCTTTAATAGCAATTAAGTCATTTTTCACAGTTTCCAACTGCTCTCCATTAAGTGATGTTAAAAATGACTGAATCTGAAAAAGGAAATGACAGTGATCACTACTAACCCAAATCACCCCTCTCTTTACTGAAATTACGAATTTTGATCCTCACCCCAAGATGTGTTGAGCAGTAGACAAGAACTCCCATTAGAAGATCAGGTCCTTTATCTAACCTATCTACCTTATCTAGGGATTAATTATGTACTCATCTGCTTGGTATCCGAGTTTCTGACAAATATTACACAAGCCTTACAAGATATTCAGGCCGCCTCCTGCTCCCAGAGCATATTTTTTGGATAACATCTTATAATTATTCTGGGAAGGCTCTGGTGAAGAGTGGGTAGGAAGAGCAGAGGGGAAGACTCACTATCAGCCTGAACAGCTGTGGCAGGAAATTCCAGAGTAATTCCAGTAATTCCAGAGCCCTGTTCCCTGCTCCCACAAGGCTTACCCACATTACCTACAGTCCAACTGTTTTGAAGAACGCAGTGGTCATGGCATGTCATTGTGCCTCAGAAAGTCTGGTTCTAGCCCACTGAAGTTTTGAAAATTAAGGCTATCAACCTAGGGGATGACTGTTAGTAGTCTGCTCTCCTCACAAGCACCCTTAGTTCCACCAAATTCCCATAGGCTGTCTTTGGTGGACACTCCAGTCTGTTTTCGTCTTCAACTAGAAATCTCCTTGCAGAGTCCCCAAACGGCTGTTAGTTTTCCCCTGCATGTAGGCTGCTAGATCTGTAGTTGATATCCAAGCACTGAACACTTTTGCTTACAAGAGATGAACCTCATTTCATTATAAAGAAGTCTGTGAGCTCTGGTTAACTTGAATTTAAACAGACTCATGCTAAGTTTTGGCTATGATGAATGAGAAGGTGTTTTTATTTGTGTCTTTGTTTTTATAGGACCTGACTGTGATTTTTGTATTTACAATTCTACACCTAGAAATAGTTGCAAATGCTACAACTATAGGGACATTAGGTGTCAAAGTGCTGTTGAAATGGGCCTGCAGTTATTTGTGCCGGAAAAATAGGAGACTGAAGTGAGACACTTTTAAAAAAGCAGGACCATTCTGTTTAAGAGAAACTATTCCTTATACTTCTATTTTTTGGGAGGGCAGGGAGAGATGGACTTTAAAAAAAAAAAAAGGTGGAGGAAGAAACGCTGAGAAATGTATTTGAAAAATGTCATAATGTATAAATACAACCGCTAAGTGTGCACCAAAGCTTTCCTGAATGGCTGCACAGCAGAGCCAATAAACTGACAGTTGAAAGCTAGCTGTCACAGAGACCTTATTAACTTAAGCATGTATCTCAGAGTAATCTTACAGGGTTTGTCTACACAGCAGTGAAAGCCCAGGTCTGAGTCTGGACACAAGGCAACCCCCTCTTGCATCCACACTGCAATTGCGCTAACCTAGGGCTTGGACTTAGGATCCCAGCACCCCGTAGGGCTATAGGGTCTGAGCCTGAGTTAAACCTGGACCTGGAGTCCGAGCCCTATTGCTATCCTGTGTGTACATGGTCCCATTTTGACTTGGGGTCCCAAGAATCTTCTAGATGTATCCTACAGTTCCTGGTGGCAGAGTAGCAGCGCTGCAGGCAGCCAGCACAGTGGTCCGGAAGTGCCACTACTGCTGGCCGAGCCTGCTCCCCATTCCTGCATCCTCCTGTGGTGGTGGTGGCTCTGGCTCCTGCGCCTCCTTGCTGTCATGTGGAGCTTGCCCAGAGCAGGGAGAAAATTTGCCAGTTGGGATGTGGCTGTTGGGGATCATTACCCCCCTGGCCGTGGTGAGCCAGGAGCTCTCCCACTCCCTCTCTCTGTGGGGTGGTGCTCTGATCTTGCCCTTGCTCCTGGGCTCCCACTGCCCTCCCTGGGGCTGCGTGTGCAGGGACGCCCTGTCTGTGTGCACTGTCAGGATAGTGAGTGGGAGCTGGTCCCCAAACTTCCCTGCACCCTCCTGGCATGCAGCGGGGGCAGCGATAAGGGATCCCCGGGGATGCACCCAAGCCTGGGCATGCACTTCACCAGTCCGCAGCTAACAGCAGCCAGGCTGGGGTGTGTGTGTGTTTTAAGAGATGGGATCTTTGGGAGGACAGCAGCGATCCACCACCTGGGTCATACAGGCAAGGGCCACACATCCTGGGTGGAATGGAGCAGGAAAGGAAGCAGCTAGTTCTGGATCCCCTGGGGGGACTGCCAAGAGCTGAAGAACTTGATTATTAGGCAGATAAGTGGGTCACCAAGTTGGCTGCTTCTTGAGACTTGTTAGTAAAAAGTGGGAGTAAGAAAGTGCCAGCGGTTGAACATTGGAGGCTGCTTCTGCACCAGTCTTCATCTGGGCCAGGGTTAGAAGACATTAGACAGGGGTGGTGACTCTGATGCAGTGTATGACCCACTCGGGGTGTTCCTTCTGCAGGGTGAGTGATCTGCAGTTTGCACAAGCACATTATCAGCCACAAACAAATTTATTTTTCATCATGTCATTTTGACTTGCATTGCATGGCAATCGAGACCACTCCCTCCCAAACACTGCCCCCTCACCAAAAATGAGCCCGTTTTCCCCTCCCCTCGAAGCACATTCCTATAGGTACTATTTCCCCTCTGCCATTGGGCCAGGCAAGTCCATAACGTGAGCACACAAAGTACCCCTTACTTCCGCTGCTCGGGTGCAATCAGCTCCCCGCCACGCTAGCTTCACTTCTGGCTGAGCGTACCAATCCAGTGTCTCCTCGCTGTCATACGTCCTTTTAGAGGGAAATGGCTCACCTCTGGCTTCACAAAAGTTATGAAGAGCACAGCAAGCCACAGTAACGCAGACAACAGTAATTACACTGGCATCTAAATGGGTTTGTAAACACCTCCAACAGGATATTAATCTGCCAAAAGTACATTCAACAATCATTCTACACCTGCTTAGAGTGTAATTAAACTTTTTTTTTTGCCTGAGCCTCTGAAATCAGAGTATGATTTCATAAGCCAAGGCAAAAGAGGGTACGTGGGTTCCCCAATAACAACAATGGGGACAGTAACACTATTTAGATCTATGTCATTTGGTGGAAATAGTGTCCCAGCCTGTCCATGAATGTAGATTCCAGAGCAGCAAAAAACTCTGGCATCATTAACTTTTCCTGTATAGCTCACACTGACATTCATAAATCTGCCTATGTGGTCCACTACTGCCTGCATAACAATGGAGTAATACCCTTTGTGGTTTACGTACTCATGTGCTCCTTGAGGAGGGCCAACTATAGGCACAAGTCCCATCGACAGCACCACCACCGTTAGGAAACAGAGTGGGCAGTAGAGTTTTCCCACAGTACACCATGTTCCTAGGGCTAGAATGTTGACATTGGTGCGGGGCACTAGGCACTCTGGAATATGGTTACTTTTGACTTGGGTTAGTGCACTGCAGTGTGGATGTCAAAGCCCTAGGTTTGAGCACGGGTCAGAAAATTCTTAACCTAGGGTTAAAATGCAATATAGATGCTCAAGCCCAGGTTTCCCTGACATGGGTCAGCTGACTCAAGTCCCAGTTACCCTAGGTTACATTGCTGTGTAAACATAGCCACAGAGACTGCTTACATCTCTATTTATATCTTGGGTTGGTCAACAACAGGATAATAACACAATGCAATAAAGAATATTTAGAAGTTAAATAAATAATCTGGAATGCATTTTCTTTTATTAACCTCTTAGTGTAGTTGGTGCAAGGTTCCTGAATATAAATGGTAACACCCTTTAATAAAAACAATACACTTGAGTCTTTTGGTAAAGCTTGAAAGGGAATTAGCACCTTGTAACAGGTTTAAAGAGCAGAACACATAATGTCTTAACAACTAAAACTTTCAATGGCAGATTTCCTTGCTTCTTTTGTGCTAAATCCTGGTCCTCCTGAACATACTGGGAAAACCCTCATTGATTTCATGAGATAAGGGATTGACCCTTGGGAGCAAATCAGTACCCAGTGAAGTCAATGAAAAAACTCTTATTGACTTGTATGGGGAGATTAATGCTTACAAAAAGTATTTCACTAAAATGTGTTTGTGATTTATGCAGCTTGTTTACTGTACCTTGGCTTCACTTTCATTTGACAGAATTTCCAGAGCTTCAAGATGGGACAAACCCTGGAACTCATCAAAAAGCAGCCCATAATGTGCTGTCCTTTCAACTGTAACTTGCTGGGCCAATCTCTGCTTCTCTTTCTCTTTCGCTTCTCGCAACAGCTGCAAAAATATACATCATTCCTGTTGATTTATTGACTGCACTGCAGATTTGGCAGTTTTTATTACTCTCAGCCTCATCTCTTCTAGGCAGTAATAATAAAATTTGGTACTATATCATACCTGCAGAGCTGAAATTTTAGTCAGCCTCAGATATGCCTCATAATTTTTTTTTTGATTAACCTCTCTAATAAAATATTTAAGTAGTGTTCTATATGTGTTTTTCCCTATGGTAATTATTAACTGTCTTTAAAAACCAACCAACAACAAATAACATTGCTCATATCCTCAAATGCAGTGTTGGCTACAGGTAATACCTCATAAATTTAGCCACCGTTTGCAAGGGAAGAAAAATTAAAAAGTCTTTACTTCATCCAGTGCCCCATACAGGTCCTACAGTATGTATACATAGAGCACAATCTCTGCAGAATGCTGTTTCCAGGGTTCCTACCCACATGAAGTATATATATAGTGAATATATAGTGAAACCTGTCGTAAATGACCTTTGGACCCACAAAAATCATTTGCTTAATGAAGGTAGGGTTTTGTAGGAAAAATGCATCAGAACTGTACTCCATACATTTGGGGATATTATGGAGTGCTCTCTTAATACAGAAGGTTGCCTAAGAAGAAATGGCCTCTTGTACACATTTTCCACTGTATTTATGGGTTAAATTTCACCCTATCCAAAGCCTATGAACCACTTAAGCCTATTTTGACATTTTACACTTACGTGGCACTTTGGCCTTCTCCTGTCCCTCTGCACAAGGATGAAATATCTAGCTCTACCATTTTCAATACTGCATACACAATTCTTCATATCTAAATTTTGCATGCACAAATTAGATTAAAAGAAAGCAGTGGACTGGGACTCAGGAGAACTGGGTTCAGTTATTGTACCACAGACTTTCTGTGTGAACTTAGGCAATCACTTTACCTTTCTCTGCCTCATTTCCCCATCTCTTGTTACCTCCATTTAACACTTCCTTTCTCCCATCCTTTGTTTCCTATTTAGGCCCTTATTTACGCACATGTTTAACTTTAAGTATCTGCTTAAGTGCAGTCCGGAATAGGATGGGACATGCCAACACTTAACTCAGGGGTCGGCAACGTTTGGCACGCGGCTCGCCAGGGTAAGCACCCTAGCGGGCCGGGCCAGTTTATTTACCTGCTGATGCGGCAGGTTCAGCCGATCGCGGCCCCCACTCGCCGCAGTTTGCCGTCCCGGGCCAATGGGGGCGGCGGGAAGCGGCGTGGGTGAGGGATGTGCTGGCCGCGGCTTCCCGCCGCCCCCATTGGTCCGGGACAGCGAACCGCGGCCAGTGGGGGCTGCGATTGGCCGAACCTGCCGCGTCAGCAGGTAAATAAATTGGCCCGGCCCGCTAGGGTCCTTACCCTGGCGAGCCACATGCCAAACGTTGTCGACCCCTGACTTAACTGAATGTATTAACATATACCTGCCCATGCAACTAGCTGGTTTCATGTAGATGTGTATTTTTGCAGACACAGCTGTAGTCCAGTGTTTGAAAAATTGGTTCTTACCATCTAGATGACTTTCTTCAGATCATAAATTTTCAGTCAGATCATATTTTGAGTCTACACTACTTGAGAGAGTCCCCTTTATTGCCAGAGTTGCAATATTACATTGTGAAGTGCCTTGGAATGCTTTACAAGAAACACATTACCCAAAACTAAGCCCTGATCTTGCAATCAGATCCATGTAGAAACTTCAACTGCAGTACTGGGGTCGTAGTATTTTATGGCTATACATATTTCTTTTTTAACAGTAATGGCCATTTGGAGCATTGCTCAAGTAGATATAGGTAAAGTGTATAATTATGTAATTTGCTTAGCATGGATTAGTTTGCTTTTGATCTGTTCTAACAGTATCATTCTGTTTCTGCTTACAGTGGTAGATGTTAAAAATGAAACATCTTATTGAGAGAAAAATATCTCACCGCAATATTACATTCTACAAACAGGAAAATACTGTGGTAATATAAAGGCTTCCTTTTAATGTCTACTGCTATAGGATTTCCCTTAACCTTACTACATATAGGTTTTATGCTACCTAGGTCTATCTGTGTTTATTCACACACACACACACACACACACACACACACTTTATTGATGAAATTCTATTGCAGTTAGCAAAAGTAGTAAGCAGTTACTGAACATCTGTACCGGGAGAGCTAAAGTAACTGGTACTGGCAATGATTATATTCAGATTATACTGTTACAAGGTCTCTGAATCTTTGAAGACACAAATCATAACTTGACTCATATGGTAAGGGCATGGTGCATTGCTGTTGAGTATGCTGTTTCCCTAGATGATAGTATTAATTTAAAAGGATATAAGTAATAATTTTTTACTGCTTTAATTTTTTCCCCAATAAAATAAATGCTATATTCCACTATTACTCATTCCCCAGGAAAGCACTACAACTATGTATGTATTGGTGTGAATACAGATTTATAACTATTAAGAAAACATTAAGGGTGTGAGCACTTCTCCAGAGTACGTTTATCACCTGACACAGTATCTTATGAAAATCGGTAATTGCACATCCTTGCTTATATGCAAGTGCTGATTTTACAAAATATATTAATTTGCAGTCCTGCAGAGAACAAAGTGGAGCTGACACAATGCATAATTTTTATTTTGATAGGTCTAACTATACTAAATTAACCCTACTACTGATGCAAATGAAATTCTTGTTCAGTAATCTGCAACTGCACTAACAAAGAGGGTTTGAAGCAATCCAACCTGAGATAAGGAAACTGTTCTTTCCATCAGTATTTTGGTTCTCTTAAATCCAGGATCACTTTCTGCCAGGACATTCATGGTTTTCTTGCCGATAAATTCCAAAGCATCTAGACCACCTGTCAAAACACTTTTTCCCTGCACATAAAACAATGCAGTGTGGTTATTTAACTTTATGTTAATAAGAAATTGTAAAAAAACACTGGTTCTGCTGACGCTGACTTTGAATTTTTAACTCCCTAAAGTTTCTCCACCCTTACAAATAATAGGATTTATGACTTCATCAATCATCTCACTTTGCTTTGAATCCATTTTCCAGGAGAAAAAGTACTATACAAAGGTTTTATAATTAACTTATTTTGAATGATATTTAATAGCTTGATGTCAATAAGAAATATGCCCAATAGCAATTCTCTTAATAAATTAAATAATAATAATCAGAGAATAAAGCCATATTTACTTTGTATACATGGATGGTTCATCTTTTCCTTTAAATGGCATGCAGTGGGTCAGTGCAAATTTTAGGTACAAAAGGTTCCTTTGAAGTTAAGGACCCTTATGAAAGGAGCTCACCTCACTCGTGTAACTGAGTTTTTTTTTTCATTTGACAGCTGCAATGAACTGCTACATGGGAGATTCACTCACATGAAGCCATTGATTCTATGTCCTCTCACGAGCTTTATTCATCTCTCTCATTGGTTCAGCTACATGGAAGAAGAACCTACACTGGCTAACTGTTCTGTCTGTAGCCTAGACTCTATGTCTGGCAGCTTCTCAAATGAGGAGCTGAACATGGAAAACTTTACAGAGGTCTCAGCAGTCAAGACTGCCTCTGTTCTCAGTATTAGAACATTGAAGGAAACTTTTTTCAACAAGAGGCAGAAGTCACTACATTACCATGAGGAACCTGAACTGTCCTGTTTCTTCTTGATACCATTTGTTACCTTGATATGATGGCCTTCACCACCCACATGGACAGCTCTAACTTTCCAGCTCTCCCTCCTAATTCTCCCACTTGCAGACTGGCTTCCCCATGGAGCTCAGGCAGTCTCACCCAAACCCACCACCAGCAAATCGTAGGTAGCTACAACCTCACTGACTCTGTGACCCTCACTGCAGCCCTCGGGGAGTGGTCAATGGAAATCTTCCCATGTTCCCAGAATCTTTGACATTAAAGCGAAGTTATTCATGGCATGCTTCGAATGGGCTGGACAATCATTGAAAGGGAACATCACCCTCACCAGTTTTGCACAAAGGAAACCCTGCCATCTATGCTTCCTGGATGCTGCCTGCAATTTTCTGCAATCCTATGCTAGAGCACCACGCAAAAGAGTTCAAAGGAAAATGACTGTAGAGGTAGCATTTTATACACACTGAAAGGAACAAGGCAAGATGTGGATGGATATTGGAGAGGTAAAATGGAGGAAGCAACAGGATTAGGCAAAAGCTGGGATATAGGGGAGTAGAGGGAAGAAGAGAATGAAATGTAATGTTTAGGTTTTGAGCCTGGATCACAAGGAATATGGAAAGGACAATGGTAATAATGGATAAGGGAGGAAAGATGAATAGTTAGTTCAAATTTTGCCATGTTGAGTTTGAGATGGCACCAAGATATCCAGAGAGCAGTGTCAAAGAGACAGTTTGAGCTGTGAGACTAGGCAAGGAGGGAGAGGCTGGGGCTAGAGAAGAAAAGGAATCATTTAGTAAAAGTTTTGAACCAAGCAAATGTAGGATTGTCTTGTTTTATCTGCCAGCAAAAATATCAGAAACCCTCCTCTCAAAGTTAATCACAAAGGACTTGATTTTAATAAAATCACGAGAGCACCACACCTTCATATGACTCCCAAGACTTTGCATAGACATACACAGTGCACCAGCCAGAATTTTTTTTAAACTAAGTCTAGTCCCAAATGTTCACTCAAAGGTCACGTCTACACTTTGAGCTAGCGATGTGATTCCCAGCTCACATACACATACTCGCGCTAGCTCAATGAGAGCCAGCGCAAGTATAAACAGTAGTGGAGCCATGGTAGCATGGGCAGCAGATGCAGTGGCATGGTTCAAAACCAGGCTGAATACAAACTCACCTGAACCTCGTGGGTAGGTCTCAGCATTGCTAAGCTGTGCCTCTGCTGCCACTGCCCGTGCTACTGCAGCTACGCTACTGTTTATAGGTGCACTAGCTCTCATCGAGCTAGTCTGAATACGTGTACTTAAGCTGGGAATTGCACCCCTAGCTCGCAGTGTAGGTGTAGCCTAAATTGGTTACTTTCTTTGATATACTTGAAACTTTATATTGAGCTAGTTATTTTTGCGTAAAAGTGTCATTGTAGATCTGTGGTTCAAAAACTGTTTTTCAAACAGTCATACAACTCCCAAACCCTCGTCTTCAAATGTGACTTGCAATTAGAGGGCACGAAGGAGAACTTCAGAAGACAAGACACATTGGAGTTACTCACTGTGTTCTGTACAGCATTAGTGATTGTTGACAGCATCCCACGAGATCCAGATGAAGGCGAAGAGGGTGAAACCCCAATGGAGCTCTGGTCTGGGGCATCGTTGGAATCTAATAAAATGAAAAAGAGCCAGGCACAACGTATCTTCAACACTGTGTTATTTTCAACAAATCACAATGAACGGGATTCTGTCACCAAAATCTTTGAATTTCCTAAATTGTATACATTTGATAATTTGTCAAAATGTTTTGTTCAACTTGGACTAATAAGCTACTTACTGATCCCTGGTATTTTGCTCTCAGTTGTGGCAGGTTGTGCGCCTTCTGAAGATGTTGAACTCACATTATGAATTCTTAGAGTGGCTCCTGCTTTTTCCTTTACTGCAGTTAATCCATGACCTGTAATGGTACAAATATATTTTAGATGCAATTATGCATGTGTCTGTGATTTGGAAACACTCTTATTACTAGTAACAAGGCATAATATTTAATGCTTAGTAAATACATCAATTAAAAATTAGGTGAAACTCACAAAATATGAAGCCTACTACATCTGCTTAACTTATTTTCTAGGTCAGAAAAGCCAGCTAGACCTTCATTTACTCACTAGTTATATTAACACATTTCAAACTCGTGTCCTGTATGTTAATTGAGCAGAAATGATGAAACTGAAATAGAATACAAATGATACAGGATATAGACCATTGTAAATCTTGTTACTGTGACAGAGAGGGGTAAATTTAGTGCTCAATCTTTCAAAGTACTGAGTGCCTTCAGCGCTGATTAACTAAAATGGGAATTGAGGGTGCTCTGTGCCTCCCAGGGCTGGGGCTTAAGTGGAATTCAGATATTTCATAAGAATGGATGGCCATATTGGATCACATCAATGGTCCATCTAGCCCAATATCCTGTCTTCCGACAGTGGCCAGTGCCAGATTCTTCAGAGGGAATGAACAGAACAGTTATTGAGTGATATATCCGCTGTCATCCAGTCCCACTTTCTGGCTGTCCGAGGTTTAGGGACACCTGGTGCATAGGGTTGTATCTCTGACCATCTTGGCTAATACCCATTGATAGACCCATCCTCCAGGAACTTATGCAGTTCTTTTTTGAACTCTGTTAATAGTCTTGGCCTTTACTATATCCCCTGGCAATGAGTTCCACAGATTGACTGTGCGTTATGTGAAGAAGTGCTTCCTTGTGTTTGTTCTAAACTTGCTGCCTATTAATTTCATTGGTTGACCCCTGGTTCTTGAGTTATGTGAATGGGCAAATAACACTTAATTATTCACTTTCTCCACACCAGTCATGATTTTATAGACCTCTCTCATATCCCCCCTTAGTCATCTCTTTTCTGTCTTTTTAATCTCTCCTCATATGGAGGCTGTTCCATACCCCAATCATTTTTGTTGCCCTTTTCTGAACCTTTTCCAATTCTAATATATCTTTTTGAGATGAGGTGACCAAAACTGCATGCAGTATTCAAGGTGTGGGCATATCAAAGATTTACATAGTGGCATTATGATATTTTCTGTCTTATTATCTATCCTGTTCTTAATGGTTCCTAACATTGTTAGCTTTTTTGACTGCTGCTGCACTCTGAGCAGATGTTTTCATCGAACTATCCACAATGACTCCAAGATCTCCTTCATGAGTGAAAACACCTAATTTAGACCCCATCATTTTGTATGTATCATTGGGATTATTTTTCCAGTGTGCATTACTTTGCACTTATCAAGATTGAATTTTATCTGTCATTTTGTTGCCCAGTCACCCACTTTTGGGAGATTCCTCTGTAACTCTTCGCAGTCAATTTTGGACTTAACCATCTTGAGCAACTTAGTATCATCTGTAAACTTTGCCACCTGTTTACCCCCTTTTCCAGATCATTAATGAATATGTTGACTGGCACAGGTGCCAGTACAGATCCTTGGGGGACCCTGCTATTTACCTCTCCCCATTGGGAAAACTGACCATTTATTCCTACCCTTTGTTTCCTATCTTTTAACCATATACTGGACCTTTCCTCTTATCCCTTGATTGATTACTTTGCCTAAGAGCCTTTGGTGTAGGACCTTGTCAAAGGCTTTCTGAAAGTCCAAGTACACTATATCCACTGGGTCTCCCTCCCTTGCCCACTTGCCTTCTGACACCCTCAAAGAATACAATTCATGCAATTCATCTTTTCTCCCAACATTTTTGGGGCTATCGGATTTGTTCTCAAGTGTGTTACTTGGATTGGCATTTTAGGAACACTTTCCCTAAAAGTCCTGAGAGGTGATACAAAGGAGAGTTGAGGATGCTCAGGACCTTACAGGACTAGGCTCTGAACACAGATGCAGGGCTTTCCCTTATGAACCTTTGCTCTCTAAACAATCAATCATCCCACTCTCCTGGGTTATCTTGTTGCTCTAATTTTAACCTTCAAATCATCTTCCCCCAATAATACTAACCAGCTTTCATTGTGTATGTTACCTGGGCATTTGACCTTTGGACAGGAGGAGCTCTGGTTGGATCAGGTGGCAGAAAAACAAGCATTGCACCCTCATTTAAGTAGGTATTTGGTAGGTGGTCCCATTGAAGTCAATGGGACTATTCACAACCTTAAAGGCAGGCTTAGGTAAAGGTTGTTCTTTCAAAAGCATACAGTGTTTGCCAAACTCTGCTCCTACTGGAGTCTACAGGACCAGGGTTAGGACAATGATGACAGCTTCTGAAAATCCTCTTGCATATACATTGCCGATTTGGGGCCTAAGTATGCACAAGGAGGTGTTAATGATACTGCCGCACACTTATGCTTCTCTGCCATCAGCTAAGTTGTCATGAGTTAAAAAGCTGTGATGTGAAAAATCAATCTAGAAAACAAATCAAAGACATTTCTAGAAATCTAAAACAAACACAATTGTAGGTGTTTATTAAATATTGTCCATATTCCCTAAGATTGGGAACTGCATGCATTTTATAAATTAAAAAATGAGTTTTTCCAGAGTTATTTTGATTACTGCAAAACAGTTCATCAGTAGCTAGAGTACAGTACAGTATTTATATGCATCTGGGGTATCCAATTAGAGAGAGATGCAACAAACCATTGTGATTGAGGGTGGAGTGGAGGGAAGATTTGCTGCATGGTTCTGTGATCGCCACATGGATTACTCATGAGATGCTCTATGAATTCAATAAGTATCGTCTGGGGACTATAACATTACATAAAATAACTCCACATTGTGAAGCAGCACATTTGAGAGATCACGTGCAAGAACAGCAGAGTATCTGGGGGAAAACACAAAGTTCCAAAGTACAGAAATCTCTTACAGAACAGACCTGAAGATTGTGCTGACTATGTGAAATAACTGATTTACTATTTTATAGTTTAGTCTACGTGGGACTCTTGCATTTTACATTGAAACAATGAGACTTGGCAGCTTAGAATTTTGATTTGTCACAACAAGATGGTTGAAATGATCTTTGCCTCTTTTTTCCTGTCTCACAAACTGTAGTTGTATGTCAAACTGTGCATGGTTAGTTAGGCTACCAGCAATGAAACTGTGAGTCAACAGAGTTATTGCAGAGTGGAGTTCTACTTTATCTTTCCCTAGCCTGCTGTGCATTTTAATTGGTTCAATGAAAATATTATTAGCATTAGTAAATTCATGATTCATTATTTTTATTGACCAACTTTCTGGGACTGTTTAAGTAATTGTTAATTTGTGCTTGTAAACTAATATAGCTAGATACTCTATGTTGCATTCGTTAGCATTTCTATTATTTATATTTTTACAAAAGGGGAATCCAAAAGAAATTTCAATTACTTTTTTTTCTACTGAGTCATAAAATTGTATTCACCTTCTTTTGAGATTATGACAAAATATTGCAGACAAATCAATATATCATTTAAAAAAATATTAACTGCACATAGGAAGGGTGTGCAGGGGTTTTTTTAGGTTGATTTTCCAGTTTCCTTACATAAAAATGATGTTTTGTTTTTTCTTACATTTTGAAATGCTGGCCTGAAAAATATGCTTATGGCTTTTCAGCTATGCTTACACCTTCAAGAAAATGAGCATGCATATTTTGGTGGTGTATTGATATTTACATTATGAGAATTCAGCATTTGCAGAACTGTACCTCTAGCTTTCATGCACCGCAGAACTGTGAGCCAATAATTCAGGGAAACTGGATGAGGTTTTGCTGAACTAAGCTCTGAGCTAAGCACCTCTGACTATAACACAAGAAGCCGATTAGCTCAGAGTAGCGCAGCTGGGGCATGTCATCATTGTTGAGGATGTACATGAATGAAGAAAAGCACAAACATTGTGAAAATACAAATTGTTTTAGAATGTGAGCATGACAGACATTCAAATGAAAAATTATTTGTTACTTTAACAACATGGAAACGGGAGGGCTCTCGATGGTTCTGTGTTTTAGAGATGAAGACTTACTGATTTTGTTTTACAAAGTGGTGTCATATTTACGCAGATATTACAAATACAGTATCTTCTGACAAAATTAGTGACTCTTTTCTGTCCACCCTCTCTCCATCTGTTTCCTAATTAAATTTGTGGCTTTGTCTCCACTTCCTTCATCTAACTGTCTCAAAGACAGAGGAGCGTCTCTTGGGTGAGGGGAGCATCTTTCAGTATTCCTGTCATTTTGGAGAAAAACTCTGCTTGGGGTAGTTTTTCTTGTTTTGTTTTTTGGTTGGTTGATTTGTTTGTTACAAAGTTAGAGGGTTTTGATTAGCAGGGGAAGGTGTTTGTGTAGAATGTTGTCACTGTCATTCTTGCTACAGTGGAAAGGCTTTTTCAAAGAGGAAGGTTTTGCAACATATCCTAAAGACGGTCAGCTCTGCATTTGACTGATCACCTCTGGAAATTTGTACCAAAGTCAGATCCCCTAGATCAAGAACACTTTGTCCCCAGCTCTGACACTTCATCCCAGGCTTCGTGATCTTCATGGTCCCAGAGGCATAGTGCTTAATTTGTGCCAGGGCTTGCCAGAGCTGAGCTCCGACACCTCTGGGCTTGGCAGTTCAGAACTCGGGCACCTCTGGGCTTGCTGCATCAATTATGAATATAAAAAAATTGCTTGAGCCCCAGCACCTCTTTCATTACAAATTAAGCATTGCAGAGGAGTGCAACTGTTGCAGACATTCATATGTTGAATTTTGATCTTTACAACAGCTGGAGCATGATCCATTTAATATGTCAAAGATTAGGCCCAAGGCCTAAAATTGGCATCTGAAACTGGCTGGGAGCCAGCAGAGGGAATTGAGCATGGTCTGATGTGCTCACAGCAACCTCAACCATAGAAGAAGACAGTATATGCAGAACAGTGCTGCCCCCTGGTTCATATCTAGAAATACATGGCATCACAGCATGCTCAGCCTCAACGCCGCTACT